GCGGAAATGGCATGCTCAGTGAGTACACTCGAAACGAACTGCGGGCTCATGTTGGTGCCCGAAGCACAGGTGGTGGTGGGGGAGGGGGAGGGCCAGGGTCCCCTTCCCCCAGCCAGCAGCAACTACAACAACCACAGCAGCAACAACAACAGCAGCAACAGCAGCAACAGCAGCAACAACAGCAGCAGCAGCAGCAACAACAGCAGCAGCAGCAGCAGCAGCAGCAGCAGCAGCAGCAGCAGCAGCAGCAGCAGCAGCAGCAGCAGCAGCAGCAGCAGCAGCAGCAGCAGCAGCAGCAGCAGCAGCAGCAGCAGCAGCAGCAGCAGCAGCAGCAGCAGCAACAGCAGCAGCAGCAGCAGCAGCAGCAGCAACCTCAACAAACACAAGCACACCTGGCCTTTCAGCAAACCCCTGACCAACACCACCACCACCACCACCACCACCACCTTGACCAGCCGCTACTACACTCTTACTCCCCCTCAGGTACCTGTCCTCTCACTCACTCACTTGTGCTACACTCTAGCATCACTCACATCACTTGCTTATCCTCACCCATAATGATTTTGGCCCATTTCATGTGACTGTGTCTCCTTTTTAGTCTCACCTGCATCTCGGCCTTAATCAAATGGAGATTAGACTCAAGTTATCTGACTTGCTTATCCAATACCTTTGCATCATTAGCTTTAATTAGCCAGTAAAATTACTTAATTGTGTTAACAGGTATTTCACCCCTCTGCATACTCCTATTGCTTACATCACTTCAAGCTTTGTATAGATAATTCTGCTCCAAAATTTATATCACAAAATTAAAATAATTTTGGCATGTTTCATCACAAAAAATGGCCAAATAACTCCTTTTAAGGGTATTTCATACATTTGCAAATATTGTTAAGCTTATAGCTAGAATATAATGGCTACTGGTATATCCTTGAATGTACTAAACCCTGAATGACAGCATCTTAATTTCATCACAGCTTTACATTTTGCCACAACTTTCCATTACTTGTGATGGATTTAAGACATTTTTTCTGCTGAACCACTTAACCTCTACTTGTACCTCGCTAGCTTCATGTTTTATTATCACGATATGTAGTTGTGATAGAAGTCATCTCACTATTTGTTATGATTACTTGCTACGTGTAGCTGTTAAACTTTACCCTTCTGTTTTAAGTAGGTCTTGCTAACTGTATATTTTCTGTTTTATGCAGTGTTTGTTATTATTAAGCTTCTTAGATTGCCTTGTAAAATTATTTGTCAGTCACTCAACTTAAATGTTCAGAATATATTTAGTTTAATGTGGATTATGTCTGCATATTATTCATCATATTAATAAGTCACGCATATGCCATTCAGTGAAAATTAGGCAAATGGGAATGCAAATATTCCACCAATGAAATGTTGCTGGATTACATTTAAACTGTACACTAAAGAATTTGTCAGCACTCTAGCTGTCATGATGCTATGATATAGCTGTATAATTTAAAATGAATTAATGCTCTTTGTAATAATGTGTGGGCTTCATTTTTTTACAAGTCGTTTATTTGGTTATAATGTGAGTAAATGAGATCTCATCTTATAAAAAGCAATACAATACTGTACTGTATACAATGTTTCACACAAGCAAGCACAAGTACACAGACATTCAAATTAAATGTGCTCGGGAAGCCATGTATATTCATGGTTCTCAGAGCAAATACAGCAAAGAACTAAAAAGGCACTAGCAACAAAACGCTAGGAGGCAGGAACTGATAGGTAAACACCCATTCTAAGAGAGTTGTGCAGTCAAAAATGAACTATACCTATTTTATTTTGAATGAATTAAAACCAGTAGACGAAAATATCTTAAAAAGATGAAAAAACAAAATGTTCCCAAAATCGATGACATTTACAGGTTGGCACCCACACAGGTCACAGGTCACCCAAGTACTCGGTGGATACATATTTAGCTAAATGATGATATAAAAAGGCAGAGGACCATAATTGATATTGAGAGATTTCTTGCTCTAAAGCTAATCACTATAGTCTTATGGAAAGAATTAAAATGCATGAGGAGCAGCAGGAGGCAGAAAATATCTAGGTTATGCAGAAACCAAAATTAGTTAAGTAGGCAATTTGTTTATCGGGACCCATTCCAGTGCAGGATGCTATTCTTATGTATGTGTTTAACACTATAGCTAGTCTGTGGTGTGCCTCTGGCTATTGTTTAGCTGCTTCAGCGAAGTTTAAGTTTCTTCCCTGATTTTGACTGGAGGCGTGACAGTCCATCAGAGATCTTCTCTAAGGCTATTGGACATGCCTTTTTATAGCAGTTTTTGAAATTGAAATTGAAATAAATTTATTGAGGTAAAATACACACAAAGGGATGAGGTAGCTCAAGCTATTCTCACCCCGTTTGGTACAATGTGTTCATACATATATAGACACAAATCACAAACAATAAACATATTGCCGCACATCCTAAGAGATAAACATATATTTCAGAGAGAAATTTGCAAGAGACATGCAGATAATTCAACAAAAGATTACAGTCTTGGTGGCAGTTTTTGAGCTAGACTACTTCCTTGGTAGTGTCTAGGGGCATTGTCCCAGGCCTTATTTTTTTTTTTTTTTTTTTTATCATACTTAGTCCATACCTAGTTAAACACAAGACAAAGTTAAGAGAGGATTCAGAGGTATGCCACCAGACTACAGTAGTCCCAAAACTGAGAGGTATGATTTAATTGGAAAGGCTACAAGAGTTAACCCTTATGTCCTTAGAAAACAGAAGAGTAAAGGGGAGACATGATCACCACCTACAAAATTTTTAGAGGAATTGACAGGGTGGACAAAGACAAACTATTTAGCATGGGTGGAAACACGAACAAGGGGACACGGGTGGAAACTGAGTACCCAAATGACATATCCATGTCCAAATAATGTCCACAGAGACATTAGAAAGAATTTTTTCAGTGTCAGGATAGTTAACAAATGGAATGCATTAAGCAGTGATGTGGTGGGGGCAGACTCCATACACAATTTCAAATGTAGATATGATAGAGCCCAATAAGCTCAGGAATATGTACACAAGTTGATTGACAACTAAGATTCGGGACCAAAGAGCCAAAGCTCAATCCCTGCAAACACAACTTGGCGAGCACACACACACACCTGACAGCTGTCACACCGGTGATGCACATGCGGGTCTGACAGCTGAGTGGACAGCGCTTCGGATTTGTTGTCCTGAGGTTCCGGGTTCAATCCCTGGTGGAAGAGGAAACAAATGGACAGAGTTTCTTTCACTCTGATGCCCCCTGTTACTTAGCAGTAAATAGATCCTGGTCAAGGACTGGGCCATAGGGCCGCTAAGCCCTGAAATCATCTCAAGATAATCTCAAGATAGACACTAGATTATGAAAGACTTGCACAAATATCCTGTGAAATTCAAATACATTTAATTCCAAAGTGTGTTTGTACAAAATGAAATCTTCAGGGAACCAGACACAATAAGAATTCCAGAGAACAACATAGAGCACATAGAGGTGTCTAGAGGCGAAGTGGAAAAAATGCTCAAGGAGCTAAGTAAGAACAAAGCAGTTGGTCCAGATGGAGTTTCTCCATGGGTCCGAGAGAATGTGCACCTGAGCTCAATATTCCACTTCAGCTGATTTTTTAAGCATCCCTGTGTATAGGAGTTGTAGCAGATGTATGGAAAAAGGCTAACATAGTTCCATTCTACATAAGTGGCAGCAGGGAAGACCCTCCCTCAATTATAGACCTGTATCATTGACAAGTGTGATAGTCAAAATTTTGGAAAATAATTAAAACTAAATGGGTGGCGCACCTGGAGGGAAATGATATACAGTAATATCAGACAGACAGTATGATTTTCGATCTGGAAGATCCTGTGTATTGAATTTACTCAGTTTCTATGATGGAGCCAAAGAAATTTTTTGGGAAAAAGATGGTTGGGTTGACTGCATTTATCTGGACCTAAAAAAAGGCTTTCGACCGAGTTCCACATAAGAGGTTGTTCTAGAATCTGGAAACATAGGGGTGACAGGTAAGCTGCTTCCTTTGTGCCTTTGGGATGCCACTTCCATAGGGGTTTATGCTGCTCTGCATTTACCCCACCCTTGGGGCCAGCTGGGGTTTTGTTGCACTTGTTTGGCTTTGGGTATGGATTCGTATTGTTGCTAGTTGGGGCATCAAGATGATGTGCAGCCAGCTTATCTATGCAGCAGCCGGTTCCTGTTTCCTCTGGGGACGTTGTACTTTTGCAGGGTTTTTCCTTTATTTTTGTTCTTTGCCTGGTGGGGGTGTGCTTGTGTGGCTATAGGACCACTTATATTGTTTTGGTGGCTCTCCGCTAGGTCCCCGTGATTGTATATGTTGCAGGGGTATCAGTGTTTTGATCATCCCCTTGTTAGCTTTGAGTGTAACCTGTTAGCAACACCATGCCCGGGCTTCCCGAAGCAGTCAGCCTACGGGCCCTGGAAAACCCTGTCGGGGCTTGGTGGACCTATGATTGTATCTTCCGAGATCCAGCTCACCTAGTGCGAGTTTGAAGGTTGCTGTGTGCCTTTGTCTCAGGGTGACAGTCACTGCTTTTGCCTTCGTTATGCTGCCTATTGGGTCAATGACATCTTTGACCCAGAGTCTTGTGAGTCGTGTTCTCTGCTTGTTCTGCAATTTACCCATTCTGATATCATTGATATTTGGGTACAGGCTGCATGCTAGGTTTAGGTTGCTGCAACGCGCTAGGTTGGTTGCAGACCCGGATGCCTCGAGGCTGCCCCGTTTTGGTTATAGGGACCTAGACATGGGGGCGTTAGTTGCTTCGACTCTGGTTCTGTCCATGCTCCCTGGTCCTTCCCCTGTTGTTCGTCCTGATTACCCCCATGAATCAGTAATTCATGGGGGTTCTCTTCGGTCCTTGCCTTTTTTGGGCTGGTCGCTTCAAGTGGCTTGTCTGCTGGTTTCTTGGGGTTTGCCTGTGCGTGCAGTTCATTTCCAGGGAGTGTCCAGCGTCCTAGCGGACGGCCTGACTTGGTTCATTTCCCTGTTCACAGAATGGACGGTCGACGCTGACTCCTTCAGTTGGTTTTGCCAGATGTACATGCTCCCAGAAGTGGATCTCTTGGTCGAGGCGTCTCTTGATATATGTGGCACCCTCCCCCGACTGTGGAGCCCTCGCGGTGGACGCCTTTCGGCAGAACTGGTTGAAGTGGGGGTTACTTGTACCTCTTCCCACCGGTCAATCTGTTGCTTCGGGTTCTGGCTCAGTTGAAGTCTTACCACAGGAGAGTTGTCCTAGTGGCCCCTTGGTGGCGGCCCAGCCTTAGTTTCAGGTGCTTCTTCCTCGGTGTCTGAACCCAGGGCATTTTCCGTGGCTCCGCCTCTTTCAGCAGATTGGACCGGTCAGGTACACGGCTGGTTCGGTCTTCTCCGCTCTTCGCATCTGGTCCTTTTGACGAGGGTTTATCACTATTTGTATGGTGATCAGG